CATAGGGCCGAACACCCAGTTTGGGGGCCGCCACTCTGGTTTCTTGAGCTCCTGTGAATGGGGTTGAATATATAGTGATCATTGCCACAAGCCATGGAGGGATAAAAGGTACAAAATGAGACTGAATTAATTTCACAATTTGAGATAACTGTCGTCCAAGGCATCGTGTAATTCAGAAGACTGAATAACATATTGATTAAGGTGTGGTAATTTTCAGATTGTAAATTACTTTGTGAAATAATTCATTCTCATTCACACATTTTTCAACAATTCCATTGGAAAGGACAGAACGGATCTTTAATTTCTTTTCATATTTCGATTAATATCTATCTATTGATCTACCTCCCTCTAACTCACTCACTCACTCACTCTCTCTCTCTCTCTCTCTCTCTCTTCTCTCTCTCTCTCTCTCTCTCTCTCTCTCTCTCTCTACTTCTCTACTCTCTCACTCTCTCTCATCTATCTATCTCACTCTCTCACTCTCTCTCATCTCTCTCACTATTCTCTCTCTCTCTCTTACTATCTACTCTCTCTGCCTTATCTATCTACTCTCTCTCTCTCTCTCATCTACTCTCTCTCTCTCTTATCTACTCTCTCTCTCTCTTATCTATCTTATCTCTCTCTCTCTCTCTATCTATCACTCTCTCTCTCTCTCTTATCTATCTACTCTCTCTCTCTCTTATCTATCTTCTCTATCTCTATTCTCTCTCTATCTTTTATCTATCTACTCTCTCTCTATCTTTTATCTATCTGATCTCTCTCTCTCTCTCTACTCTCTTCTCTCTCTACTACTTCTCTCTCTCTTATCTATCTACTCTTCTCTCTCTATCTATCTTATTCTCTTATCTATCTACTCTCTCTCTCTCTTATCTATTTACTCTCTCTCTATCTTATCTATTACTCTTCCTCTCTCTATCTATCTCTCTCGCTATCTACTATCTCTACTTCTCTCTCTATCTTATCTATCTACTCTCTCTCTCTCTCTCTTATCTATCTCTCTCTCTCTCTATCTACTCTCTATCTCTCTTATCTATCTCTTCTCTCTCTCTATCTCTCTCTCTATCTTCTCTCATCTCTCTCTCTCTCTCTTTTCTATCTATTACTCTCTTCTTTTCTCTATCTATCTACTCTCTCTCTATCTTTCCTCTACTTCTCTCTCCTTATCATCTACTCTCTCTCTCTTGTCTCTACTCTCCTCTCTCTCCTCCTCTCTCTCTCTCTCTCTCTCTCTCTCTCTCTCTCTCTCTCTTCTCCTCTCTCTCTCTTCTATATCTATACTAACATTCATAACCTACAACATGCACTGAATCCCAGCAAAGCATACTACAAACAAACAAAATCATAAACCAACCTTATTGTACCAATTTTTTATGCTCTTTGCCGTCATCAGCCCACCAACAATCCCTCCGATGTTGGGAATGAGCACGGACACCACGATCATCAACCAGCCCATTCTGTCTCGCAAATGCAATGTTGATATTTCTTTTATCGGATTTTTTTTTTTTTTTTTTTTTTTTTTTTAAGGAAATAACTAACCATTTTTAATACGTCTTGTTTTGACAATACACTGACCTTCTCATGGTAATTACTATATTTGTATGTGTGTGTGTGTGTGTGTGTGTGTGTGTGTGTGTGTGTGTGTGTGTGTGTGTGTGTTGTGTGTGTGTGTGTGTGTGTGTGTGTGTGTGTGTGTGTGTGTGTGTGTGTGTGTGTGTGTGTGTGTGTGTGTGTGTGTGTGTATGTGTGTGTGTGTGTGTGTGTGTGTGTGTGTGTGTGTGTGTGTGTGTGTGTGTGTGTGTGTGTGTGTGTGTGTGTGTGTGTGTGTGTGTGTGTGTGTGTGTGTGTGTGTGTGTGTGTGTGTGTGTGTGTGTGTGTGTGTGTGTGTGTGTGTGTGTGTGTGTGTGTGTGTGTTGTGTGTGTGTGTGTGTGTGTGTGTGTGTGTGTGTGTGTGTGTGTGTGTGTGTGTGTGTGTGTGTGTGTGTGTGTGTGTGTGTGTGTGTGTGTTGTGTGTGTATTTGTATGAGTATGTGCATGTGTAAGAGTGTGTGCATGTACATGAGTGTGTACATGTGTATGAGAGTGTCATGTACATGAGTGTGTACATGTGTATGAGAGTGTGCATGTGTGTGTGTAAGTGTGTGCATGTGTATGAGTGTGTGCATGTGTATGAGTGTGTGCATGTGTAAGAGTGTGTCATGTACATGAGTGTGTACATGTGTATGAGAGTGCGCATGTGTATGATTGTGTTCATGTGTATGAGTGTGTGCATGTGTATGAGTGTGTGCATGTGTATGGGTGTGTGCATGTGTATGGGTGTGTGCACATGTATGAGTGTGTGCAAGTGTATGAGTGTATGCATGTGTATGAGTGTGTGCATGTGTATGAGTGTGCAAATGTGTATGAGTGTGTGCATGTGTATGAGAGTATGCATGTGTATGATTGTGTTCATGTGTATGAGAGTGCGCATGTGTATGATTGTGTTCATGTGTATGAGTGTGTGAATGCGTATGAGTGTGTGCATGTGTATGAGTGTGTGTATGAGTGTGTGCATGTGTATGAGTGTGTGCATGTGTATGAGTGTGTGCATGTGTATGGGTGTGTGTATGAGTGTGCATGTGTATGGATGTGTGCCTGTATTGTGTGTGTATGCATGTATGAGTGTGTGTGTATGGGTGTGTGCACATGTATGGGTGTGTGCATGTGTATGGGTGTGTGCATGTGTATGGGTGTGTGCATGTGTATGAGTGTGCATGTGTATGTGTCATGTATGGGTGCGTGCAAGTGTGTATGGGTGTGTGCAGTGTGTGTGTATGAGTGTGTGTATGTGTTGTGTGTGCAGTGTGTGCAGTGTGTGTGCATGTGTGCATGTGTATGAGTGTGTGCATGTGTATGGGTGTGTGCACATGTATGGGTGTGAGCAAGTGTATGAGTGTATGCATGTGTATGGGTGTGTGCATGTGTATGGGTGTGTGCACGTGTATGGGTGTGTGCACATGTATGGGTGTGTGCAAGTGTATGCGTGTATGCATGTGTATGCGTGTATGCATGTGTATGCGTGTATGCATGTGTATGCGTGTATGCATGTTTATGAGTGTGTGCATGTCTATGAGTGTTGTGTATGAGTGTGTGCATGTGTATGAGTGTGTGCATGTGTATGGGTGTGTGCATGTGTATGGGTGTGTGCATGTGTATGGATGTTTGTGTGTGAATATATATGTGTATGCATGTAACTATGCATGTAAGTATTTGTACATGCATATATGTCTGTACATAAAATGTCTGTACATGTGTGTGCGTGTATGTGTGTATGTGTGTTTGTGTGTGTGTGTTTTGTGTTTGTGTGTTGTGTTGTGTGTGTGTGTGTGTGTGTGTGTGTGTGTGTGTGTGTGTGTGTGTGTGTGTGTGTGTGTGTGTGTGTGTGTGTGTGTGTGTGTGTGTGTGTGTGTGTGTGTGTGTGTGTGTGTGGTGTGTGTGCGCACGCACGCACGCACACACACACACGCACACATACTTACGCATGTATGTATGAATACCTGCCTCTATGCAGCATGTACCCTTAGTGCATAAATCTTTCCCATGATAAGATAAAAGTCTTCAGTTGTTGGTTAGTGACAACAAACATATTATATGAAAACCTGATACACGTAAATAAACAGACGTTTCTCTTTTTATTTATATGTCATCTTTCTTCTTTTCATCATGACTTCAAAGTTCAAGTAAACAAACATTTAAATTTAAAAACCTCTTGGAACTGCTTTGCTTTTCCACACGTTCTAAAAATTATAGATGTATGATCAAGACAAAAATAAACAGTATTTAAACTCAAGAAACGACATTTCATGGAAAAGAAAAACGACACTAACCTTATTGATGCTTTCAAATGACTGACTGATCCGGAAAAATAAAACTTACATGTATTAGTGACACTTGGAACAACTCTCGTACAGGGCACATGTACTAGTTTTGTAAGTGTTTCTAAATACGTTTCCTTTTAATGGTAGATTCATACATGCAGATGTATTTCCGATAAACGTTGATTACTGGGTGTTGAATGTAGCTATTGAAGTTTATTTTATAGATTTATGATTCAAGTGTGTGTGAATCGTACGCCCGCCAACTGCCTATGAAAACCTAAACAAATACAGGAAGTGTTGCAAAGGTTATGTTTTTCTTACCAGTTCATCTCTGCTTTAACATAGATCCTTGGGATAAAATTTACACTCTTGATTGTATATATTTTTTTCAAAGTGACTCGTGTAGCTTTCCTATCGAAAGGAAATAATATTCGAGGGAAATAACTACGTTAACACTCGAGCGTCAGTAACACTAGCACGATGTCATGTGCTCAATTCAACGAAAAGAAAATTTCTTTGATTAAGCCTAAAATAAACTTTCTATTAAATCAACAATCACTTCCACACTTGACCATCTTAGACAAAGAGTAAGAAGGATTGCTGATTCAAACGGAAATTCGGAAACGAGGAAAGATAAATGGGGTAAAAATTAAAAATTAAAAACTTAATATTGTCAAACTTAAACTCAAGCAGAGACGTAAAGAACCCGTTTGGCCTACGTATTTTAGGTTGCATTTGGAGGAACAATAATTTAATGATATTTTTTCTCTATGCAATCCATGCGTACTAGCATTTATGTCTTTTCTTTTTTATTAATTCTCTTTAATCTTTTTCCTTTCTTTCCCTGTCTCCCTCTATTCTCTAGTCACTATCGCTCATTCACTCATCAATTTACACTTAATCTCTCTCTCTCTCTCTTTCACTTCTTCCTCTCCTCTCTCTCTCTCTCTCTCTCTCTCTCATCTCTCTCTCATCTCTCTCTCTCATCCTCTCTTCTCTCTCTCTCTCTCTCTCTCTCTCTCTCTCTCTCTCTCATCTCCTCTCTCTCTGCTCTCTCTCTCTCTCCTCTCTCATCTCTCTCTCTCTTGTCTGTTCTGTTGAGTTAATTGTAGAGTTACGCACTTCTGTCTCGATCGCCTGAACTCTCCAATCTCATAAAAGTCAAACCTAGGATGAAAGGCCGAGACTGTTTCAGACCATTCTCAGCTGCAGTGAATGTGGAACAATGATTTTTATCAACATCCAGAAGCCACGCTTACTTCACCATGGCATAGATCACATGTTAACGTACATATTGATAAATTAACAGGGCCAAAATCCATGACTTCAATAACAGAATTAAAAGGCCATTACTTGAAATATATAGATGAAATTCTCCATCCCCCTCAGGGTACCCCCCCACTTGCAATCTACTGTGATGCTTCTACTGATTCTCATGGAGCAGCATGGATGGTGTACTGTACTAATTCCCGACATTGCTCTTCAAGAAAGTGTGCGAATTTCCAACTGGACAAGCACAACTGATGCCGAGTCAGTAGCAATATACCATGCCATCAAAAAAGGCACTGAACAGCAGCGACACCTAGCTGTCTTCTCTGACAGCCAGGGTGCACTGTATAGACCTTACACATTTAAATCCAGAAAAACATGGTAACTATCAATACCATTCACCAAAATCGCTAGCCTATCCGAGCAGGTATACAAGTACACTATACTGGATACCTTCTTCAATATTATGGATATCAACCTGTGACAACGTAGATAAGTTAGCAAAGCAAGCACTTTCCCATGAAGAACCATATTATGTAATACCGCTATCTATCAGTCAAATGAAAAAAAAAACTTTATCAGCTGTCTTCGAGATTATGAGGGCCAGGTATGGACCACTGAAAAATTGAAGAAAAGTGGACATGGTACCATCTGGCATTATGATAGTATTGTCAGGTCATGTGATGCTGACAAACCATATAAATTCTTACGATGGACTGTCTCGGAGACAGGCAGGTCACGCTAACCAGGCTACGCATAGGTATCAATACACTATACATTATGTACAGGATGCAGTTTTTGGAGGCAAAGCCAGTTACGTATCACCAATGCAAAAATGTGCAAGGCGCCCAAGTCGCATAATCTTACACATTACTTACTTTTTGCTCAAAAACTGCGCATCCTATCGATCAAATAGCACTGTCCAGAGACCAGCACTTATTGATTATATTAATTTTATCATAGACACACTGGTCTTGTCTTCGATATGATTAGGGATATAAAAGGTTTTTTTACCAACTAGATGATATGTGAATAATGTATGCATAATGACACAGCCTTCAGGCATGTAGAACTAATGTTTGACTAATAGCCCTTTACATAAATATAAGCATAGCCAGTTGGATAGATGCGGTAGCATCTTACCCTGGCTTTTTACAGGGCATGTACACTGTTCTGTAAATAAATATTATCAAATCAAATCAAATCAAATCAAATCAAATCAAATCTCTCTCTCTCTCTCTCTCTCTCTCTCTTCTCTCTCTCTCTCTCTCTCTCTCTCTCTCTCTCTCTCTCTCTCTCTCTCTCTCTCTCTCTCTCTCTCTCTCTCTCTCTCTCTCTCTCTCTCTCTCTCTCTCTCTCTCTCTCTCTCTCTCTCTCTCTCTCTCTCTCTCTCTCTCTCTCTCTCTCTCTCTCACTCTCGCTCTTATTCCCTCTCCCTCCCCCTCTCACTCTTTCCATTCTAACTAGAAAAACCTGTTTTATTTTAAAGTATTTCTGCCCTCATTGTCTCTTTTACTGCAACTTTCCCTCCATCTCTCTATTCCCTATTTTGTCTACCTCTTCCCCTTCTGTTCTTTAGGATTTTATTTTGGTTTTTCTCATTTTTTCTTTTACCTCTCTCTCCTATATTTTTCCCTCACTGAAGCACACCCAGACATTTACTCTTTACTCTTCCATTATGTAGATAAAAGGACGAAAGGGGACGCAATTAAATGCAATTTTGCCAAAACATTGCTTTTTATGGTAAAGAAGATGGAGAGAGGGGGATTGGCACGTGTTTACTGATCACCTCTGGTTTATCATGAATCCCCCTTTCCCATTAAAGCATTAGCTGATTTCACTTACCTGCCCTACCCCTCCTTCTCTCTCTCTCTTTTCTCCCTCTCTGTCTGCCTGCCTCTCCCTGTCTCTGTCTGTCTGTCTCTCTTTCACCTTCCTTGTCTCTCTCTCTCTCTCTCTCTCTCTCTCTCCTCTCTCTCTCTTCTCTCTCTCTCTCTCTCTCTCTCTCTCTCTCTCTCTCTCTCTCTTTCTCTCTCTCCACCCTTCCCCTTATGTTTTTTTTTTTTTTTTTTTTTTTTTTTTTTTTTTGGTATACCCCAAAGTCTTCTATTTCTATAGGCTTTTATATATTTTCATCAACTTTTATTCTACTCATTTGTGTGCCTTCTGTAATAACTGATATTGCTAATCCATTATTCAAATCCAATTTATTACAAGTTTTGGGATTTAAAGGGAAGAGACAGAATGATAGTTCAATAGTAATTCAATGCTTTTTATTACTTCTACAACAGTTGATGACAAAATAACAATTATAAACAGAATATCAGACTGGGCTAAAGTCATACATTTGATCTACACTCGAACCCTTCCTGATTACAATCATTATATTCCAAACTCTTCCTTTTCTCAACTGCTCATTCTATTACATACCATAATTGTAACTTTGTTGTGGTTAATAGGAATAAAAAAAAAAAAAAAAAAAAAACAATAGAAAGAGTAGCAGGATATCCACGACACTATATAACATTCCATATAACCCTGTCAGAACTTGGGGCCATATATTGAACTACTATTTACACCTATCGAGTCCCGGCAAAGCATTGAATACATATAACTTCATCTACCTATAGGCATGTTTCGTCTTCCAATGCCTTTTTCCCCCCATGACTGGAGGTGGCTACATACAAATAACACGTTCTAGGGGAGCTTCTTGCAACAGGCCTATTGAGTGTGGTGCTGAAATAAAGGTATGATGCTGTACAGTGTTCGCATGGCTAATAAATAAGAGAGAAAAAGTCATAACTAACATTACCTCAAACAAAAAAATTAGTCTGTTCGCTATTGTAGAATGAGGTTCACTGCTATAGAAACCACCATTAGCCTGAATATACTTTCTAGATACAAGTAACAAAAATGTGACATCTGTAATATTCTATACAAAAATAAGGAAGGGAAAATATTGAATATGAGAAAATCACTCTTGAAAGCATCAATTTTTACTAAAACATAAATTAAATTGGGTAACCAAATGGAAATTTGATATATCATACACAATATCAAGTATTCTCAAAATGAAGTTATTACCTTTCTGCTGTTGAAAACTGAAACTACAACTGCATGTGAAACTAATCATAACTTTACTCCTGACTAAAAGAAATAAAAAGATTGCTTATTAAATCCCTTACCAGTGTTTCCTCCCTGTGATATAACTAATGCAGACGGTTACCCCTTTGCTGGAGCAAGTGAATAGCGACCCATAAACAGTGAGGAATAATGTGAACACAAATGAGTTTCAGTCACCACACATTATGAACCCCATTCACTGGAATCCAAAATCCAATGCTAAATGAATGAATGCTAACAACAGGCTGCACAAAGGCTGACTATAAACATCTCATTGAATGCATGCTCTCTTCAGGTTAGTTTTACATCATTTTTCTTAACATTGGTGAATTTTTTTCCCGCTGTAGCCTTTTACATATGATGATGGATCTAATTGCAGTAAGAGGTTGGCAAATCATTATCAAATGTACCTGGAGAACACATAAGAGGAGGTGGAAGGGGATGTTGTTAATGGGGGCTAGGGATGGAATTAAATTTTCCACAGCCTTTTCCACCTCTGCAGTCAGGTCCTACAGGTAATTTTTTGATGTTGTTGAAACTGGCCTTTATATCTATTCACCTATTTATTTATGCATAAACCTCTCTTCATCCTCTCTTTTTCTCTCTCTCTCCTCTTCATGACTGAACTAGGAAGAGGCTGGAGCGACAAACATGCTATTTGTGGCAATGGCTGGGCTTCCTCCGAGCATGATAGTGGGGCCAGTGTAGGCTCGCCACAGCATGGACGATCCGCGCTTCAGCCCACGGATTTGTTTGAGGTGGCGGTAGCAATCAATCCAGCCATCATATATGGGCATGTTAGGGGGGGAGCCAGCTACAAGCCTGAAAAAAAAGTAATTATTTTTATTTTGTGAATGATAAACTGAGGGAGGGAGAAATAATAATCTTAAATACAAAGCAAAATTAATTCTCCTTGAGAAATGGTCCCCATAAAATAGCTTTTCATTAATGAAAAAGTAAAATAATAGGTCCACCTTTATTATCGCCGTCTATTTGCTCATTCCTTTGTTAAAGCTGTTGTTTTTAACCAGAGCCTATAATCTCAATTTGACTAACAGTGCTGAATTATCTCTTTAAAATTACCAACCGGAGTGCAAACATAGATATATACACAAGTACAAACACACACACACATACACAAAGACACATGCACATACACACATGCATGCACATGCATATAAGCAAGCATGCATGCACACATCCATATGCACCCACATATGCATGCACCTGCATATGCACCTACATATGCATGCACCTGCATATGCAATTACATATGCATGCATGCATGCATCCATATGCAACCACATATACATACATTCACACATATGCAACTAAAGACACATATGCACCCGCACAACACATGCAACCAAACACAGGACTGACAAGGATTTCACAGAAATCTGGGAAAATTTCTATGCCTAGAATTGCAAAATCTTGCCTCTTGTCACAGATATAATAACAACATGGTCACTACGCTAACATATCTTTACATATGTAATTTCCAAAATCTTAAAACAAGAGATCATATGTCACAACCTTAAAGTATCCTTCCATCAGACAAATAAAACCTCACATAACACGTGGATGAAAAACAAGTTTACTACCGAAGACATCACAGTTTCCCTGGTATCTAATTTCACTGCTCTTATTACAAAAGAGCAGTGAAAACAAATGTATATTATCACGTCAAAAAGTGGTTACCCCCTATTTTGGCTTGGTTTTTGCTCTCATTCTTAGCTGCCATGAATCATGATTTAGCAAGACATCAGTTCTTAAAAAAATCATAAAGCCCTTTTCATTGCCTATTTCGGGTAGATTAAATTCATTCATCACAAATGTAACAAAGGACTTTTTTTTTTTATAATAATGCAAGAAATTTTAAATGAAATTCCATACAAATATAAAGTATAAAATAAAGAAAATAAAGATGTACACAATAAACTGGTAAAAATAAAATATACATAAAAAATATTAATATATACATAGATTAAAGAAAAGAACACAAAGTATCACAAACCTAAACTATTAATATATTGACAAAATGAAAGAGAATGAAATGCATAAAATGGACTCTCCTTGGGGAAAGAAATAGTTATCAATAAACAGAAGAAAAAAAATAAAGAACTAGAACATACAAATACTTCATAGGGAAAAAAAAAAGTTTTCAATAAACAGAAAACAAAAATAAAGACCTAGAGAATATAATGATCTAAAAACATTAGTAAACAAACTCCTATAAGTAACTAAACCTTAAAACTAAAAACTCTACAAATGAATAGCATGTTATAAACACTTCATAAAAAAATATTTACACTAACAAAACAAAAAAAAAAAACAAAAAAAAAAAAAAAAAAAAACAAAAAAAAAAAAAAAAAGGATGAAAAAAAACAAACTAACAAAAGAGAAATGATAAAAAATAAATAAAAAAAACACACACAACTACTATAAGAAGAATAAAACTTCTTATATCATTAATAACAACGTAACTTACCCCGAGCCACTGACAGCCATGCAGTTCGACACCACCTGGAGAGGGTAGGTAAGGGCAGAGGCAAGAAACTGAAAAGAGTGAAAAAAGGTACGAATTTCAGTCCTTGTCCATAGAAATAATCTGAGAAACGTCACTCAATTTTAGTCTCTGGGGTATCGCGAGAACTCCTAACTACATTTGTCAAAGACACTTGTGCTCAGGACCTACTTATATTCGTGTTCATTACAAGAACTAATACTTGGGTGCTACTTGGATTCATACTCACATTCAGAAGGTACTTATATTTGTACTCAAACTAAGTAGCATCAGATTAACTCATAAACAAGAGCTACTCGTACTGAACGCATACTTACTAGAAAGACACTCTTATTCAGGAATTACTCAGACTCCTTTTCTCACAAATGAATCATTCGGATTCTTAATCACTCTCAGGAATACTCATTCTTACTCCTAAATGAGGGGCATCAGAAGAACTGCTCATACTTGCACTTATTAAAACTCACATTCATCGACGCCGACACATATTGCTTGAGGTCCTTGTCTTCCACGAGGTAGTTGTTGATGACATGGGCAAGCGTTTTACCCAGCCAGAGTGCTGCCAGATCACACAGCAGGCGAGGTATCAATCCACAGAAAAAGCCCTTTACGCCCTGCTCTCTGTAGATCACGCCCACTGAGGTGAACACTCCTCTGCGGAAGGTAAAGGGAAAATGAAGGCTTTGGTGCATAGTTTCCCATCACGGTGTTAGGGCATAAACAGAGATGTTATAAAGGTATTAGTGTATAAATAGAGATGGAAATAAATAGCAATATGAAGAAATCAATTATTCACTAAGTATACTGGAAGCCACAGATCATATCTATTTTTTCAGGTTTAATGTGGTGTAAATCACAGAAAGAAAGGAAGCAGAGAAATAGAAGTTTGGCATGGGTTATAAGGTATATATCTATTGATGTTACCTTATAACATGAGTAAATATATGAAGATATAGAGAAGAAAAAAGAAACAATCTATTATACAACAGCTTCTGTATACCTCAGAATTAAAATGAAACAACACCTTTATTAAAAACCTCTAACTAAAAAAAACATAGCAACAACTAAAACCTACACATATTGGCCGTCCTCGCCCACAAACTCTGCCATGCTGCGTACTGCAATGACGTGGAAAGGCTGTGACACAAGTATGGCAGCAGCACGACCAGCTGATTCCCTTGCAGTGTTCTGGAGGAACCTCTGTGTGCGCTGCTTCATGTTCAGTTCTTCAATATTTACTTCACCATCCAGCTCCTGGATAAAAGTGGAAACTATATGAGCTTGTGTTATGTTTATTTACTATCAAAATTCTTAGGTTTTGGATTTAGGATGTAGATTCTTCTGGGTACAGATATAAAAGATATTCATATATTCATTCCTTTGTTTTGTTCACATATCAAGGTATTCACATGATTCTTAAACCCATTATGAGACAATGATATGTTTGAAAAAAAATATATATATATATATAACATACTTCCTATAGATAAACGTACCTCATTGTTCTGTGGCATATACTTTGCTCATTTGCAAAGGTTCAACCTCCAAAGCATATAACTCCCTCAAAAGCATTACACTAACCTTAAATTGGATATTCTCGGTGACTCTCTGGAAGGCCACTCCGCTAACAATGTTTGCTGCCAGCTTTGGGGTCAGGCCCCTGTAGCAGCCAAGGAACCCGTCTCGCTTCTTGTGTGCGCAACTGAAGGAGGGAATTTCAGAATGTC